ATATGCTGGGTGCCAAAACAGCTGGAAAAAATAAACCAGAAATTTTTAGTTGCTTGCATATAAAACAATTTATCAAAAATAACATTCGAGTGTTGATTCGTAGTAAAAAATAATGTCACAACTGCTATAAAAATCAGAAACAATCAAAAGTTTTTATCGAGTTGTTTGTACCTGTATCTCCTTTTGTAGAACAATATTCTGGATATCCCACAAGAGTCGACCAAAGGTGAGAGAAATTGTAATAAAGAAACACATCATCGCCACTAGGCTGTATATCAGTGAACCGTCCTTAACACAAAATGCTTGGGAATTACCCGAAAAGTTCTGAATCCATTCACATGATCTCGGAACGGCAAGTATGATATATGCAACAGGAGACGATAATATCAGAGGTATTACGAAGGACCCCCGGTCCATGCAGGTGTGACAAGCAAACACTGCAATTGCGTATCCAACGATACTAATAGTGGTGTGGACTATAAATAGAACAAAAACGTCATCTGACGTGCTCCAGGTCCATCCCTTTGTCCAACCGTCATCAAAACTTAAGTCATCCATGGCAAACTTAATTAGAAGAGCACTAGAAGATAAAATGAAGACTATTTTTGAAAAGGCAGATATAAACAAAACTTTCCATGGTGAAGTCTTATCACAGAGGTGACTGCTAATCCCAGATGTATTAGCTGTCGAATTGTACGATGGTAAGTTTGAACACGATGAAACACCTGGAAGAGAAGCAGATGAATTTGGTCGATTGATAGAGATGCGAGACGTTTGACCATTTGCATTAAGGGGACCCCGAACTGTGGTCATCACTGGAGGAAATATATGTTTATTCAAATATGGAAACCATGACAAATAAATAAGCACATATCCACAAAGGGACCATGTATTTACCGCATATTTAATATGTAATAGTATGTCAAGGGATGCACCAGCGATAGCAAATAAAACAGCAATCACAGAAAGCCCACGGAAGAATTTCATTCCACGGTTGTTCTTCTTTATAAAGTAAAATATAGGGATAAAGATCCCAATTTCCATCGCAGTGACCCCTGAAGCTGCCTGTCCCGTGTTCAAAGCCTTGAATATCACTATAGACAACCCAGCTGATTCTAAGGCCGCCGATATGATAACCTGGAAAATAAAGAATTATACATGCATGTTGTGCATTCTTATACTTCTTTCCCCATTAAAGAGTATATTTCATCACATTTCAGAGAGATGGGAATCGCAAACTAGCTGCGTTAATTTAACCAAACCTTTATCAATCCATGCTTTATTTCCGATGGGAACTAGTTTGTAGTTGCTGACTCTAATGACTTGATATATAATTCTCTTATAATTTTCTGAACCTTTTACACCCAATATGTCTATATACCTAATCTCACCTAAAAAGATGAGACGCCTTGCCGCAAAAAAAATTAAGTAAATAAAAAAGAAATAAGGATTACCTGATATTTATTAGTTCTCTGTTATATGAACGTTGGTAAATATACATCCACACATAACGGGAAACTTACCAGAAAAATGGACTTTTTATTCGGCCATGGGATGTCACTGCGTCCAATGATATTCCACAGAGACCTTGAGAAAGATATCACATTGGGCGCCAGAAGTATAATAAGACACATTGTAAAGGCCTGGTATTTAGAAGTGCTGCTCTCAGTAAGGTGTTGAGCTAAACCAATCACGGTTATTTTACTGGTCACCAAGCACGATAATAAGACCGCAGCAAATGTTAAAGTTGTCAGCCATTTGAGAATTACAACAATTCTAGATGGTCCTTGTGATTTCTTTTCTTTCTTAGATCGATCAATTATTGACTCTGTTTTAACAGTCAGGTCGGAAATGTCAGTCTCGATCGTTTCTTTCACTTCTGTTTCTTCTTCTGTGGACGCCATACTTTATAGTCCCTCCACTTGTCAAATCTTCTAAGGAAACTAGAATATTTCAGAAAATATTGTGACATAAAAGTTCATTATTTTGCCTTTTTACACAATACGTAAGTATGTTCTATGAATGAATTGTTTCAAATGTATTCTTTACTCAATGTTTCAATTCAATTCAAATAGAAAAGAAGAAACAACAAACTGACACAATCGTGAAAGGTTCCTATGTATACTAAAATATACTACAGTACGTTAGATTTTTCATTACCTGTGCCATATCATCAAATTGATAACATAACTATCATTCTTAAGTTTCCTGGCCCCAAGACCATAAGCTGAAAACAGACTCAATCAAGATTTAAAATCAAAATAACTTTTGAAATTAATTTGATATCTAATTTTAGGTAATAAATTTACCTCATGTTAAGATTAGAATATTATACAATTTTGATAAGTTATGTGTTTTAAATGGCTAGTTACTGAGTATTCAAAATCAAAGTGTTGACTTGTCTGTTCACAGTTTTTGGTCTCAAGGGCTGATCGTCAATTTTATATTGTAGTGGACGATATCATTTGAAGTATTTATTTCCGCAATATAAGGGTTCTTGATAATGTCAATTATATAATACACTGCATTTAACTTACATATCTAAATAAGGGCATAACTGTCTTTTCTTTTGTTATTTGCGATCGTCAATTTCTTATGTAATGAATGAAAACTAAGTTTTACTGGCGAAACCTAAGGCAGATCTTTGCGACTGATATATCCTGATGAATAAATGATAATCATTCAGTAGCAAATAATTATAATGCATGCAAAATCTTAAGTTTCTCGTGGACTGCAGGATATCCAAAATTGTTTGAAAAATCATCAATACATTTGGTCTTATCTCTTTCTAATACATTTGACCATAACACTGTGCCCTGAGTATAACGGAGATCGATGAATTGTCTGGTCGAAATAGATGTTAACTAAACACATATTTATAAATATTCGTTGTTTTACTGAAAGAGATTTGTATAGGTAGAGATATAAGCAGATATTTTATTAGTAATACTAATAGCTTGAAGAAACCCCTACATTATTTTCACTGAATATTCCGTTTGCCCCATGATGATAAAGAGCATATGGAAGGTGTGACTGGTCGAAAGAGGTGGTATTCTCCATTGCACCTGATCACACCTCTGACATCGTGAGAGGTTCGAGTTTGCCTTGCTCCAAATTCGTATTTTCTCATTGAACGTTTGAAAAGGCTTGATTACTGTTCTTTTTCTACTTATTTTAACACTTCTATATATTTTTGTTATTTTATGATACTACCATATACGCAGAAGTTTTAGCGAAGATTTAATTCTGGCATTATAAGCGAGGGTGCTAAGATCTCTACAATTAAATATCGCTAAAAAAAATTATTGCATTTTATTTGTCATGGCTTCTTAAAATCGTTAAAATTACTTCTCGCTAAAAATTAAATACCAGATTTCCACATAAAAGATATTGTTCGACTTTTGCCACTTTTCACTTTAATTAATGTCATTCATTTTATGGTGCATAAATAAAGTTGTGCTGCAAATGTAATGCTAATATATATAATAAAAACATGCAAAGAAAGGAAGTTCAAAAGAGATGCCCATATATTTACATTGAATTGGCATGCCATTCTTATAATCAATCACTTAGAAGAGAAATGAGATTCAATCCCTTTTTAAGACAAAGTATCCACCAAAAGAAATTCTGTCTCTCATGACATTTGAGTTACAAAATGTTTAATTTAATGCAATAAGCAAAAACAATATCCGTTGTATTTTTATTCTATTATTAAAACTTCCTGCTGTTCATATTCCACTGATTCTCAAATTATAGTCTCAATTCGCTTTAAATAATGTACCGTGTTTTAAGTAATAGAATATCTCTAATAAATTTTATTTTCTGCCAGTCATATGAACCATTGTTGGTTGTTGATTAAAATACAACAATTGTTTGTTGTAACTTGAATGACTGTCTTATGCGAAAATCGCATTTTATAGCAGAAATCGATATTTACGTTACTGTCGCCGATCATAGTGTAGTTTTTATTTTAAACCAAAAAGAAGTTTTACATCACTTACATATCTTTTTCTTAGTAAGATTGTCCTACATTTGAGTTATATTTTCTGAATATCACACCCTTCACACATATGCTTGGCACAAATTTTTAAAAATTTTAATATATTTATCAAATTTTGATGTCACCGCAAAATTATTATTTTTCTATTTGGAAATTCAAAAGGACTTGAAGGATTGCTGAACTGACTCAATAAGATTAAGTTGTAACTTTTTAACATCATGAACACCTGTTCCATTGCATGGAATGGTAAAAAAGACACTGTTTATCTGTATTTATAAAAAGATAGCCCCCCCTTTTCTTAGGAGTCCAATGGTTAAAAAATTCATCGATATTTACGTGTTAGTACGAAATTATTCACAAATTAAGTAAGAGAACTACACTGTTTCCTATGGGTCAAATTACCTTACACTCAAGCACTAGAATATGCCTTTAATTAACAGTGGAATAATTAAACAACAGCATTAAAAGTTACGATAAATCTCAGAAAGATATTTACGTTACCGATATTTACGTTACCAATATTTACGTTACCATGTTTTAAAGTAAATTAGAATTAAATTCTAAAGCTGTTCGAACAGATTTGCGAGTGAATCTTAATGATTTAAAAACTAAAAACATGAAGAAATAAACTGATTCTTAAAATGACATTTTTTTCTGTAACAAGAGTGCAGAAATGCAAATGGAAGTGCACATGCAAAGGTGAACATATTTTACACATTATCTTGTGCATCCGTGTGATCTGAAAATTTAATTGACATAATATTATTCACAAATAGAATTGTGGTTTAATGATCGAATGTTTCCATTTTGAGCAATTGGTTAATATTGCATAGTTTTAAGTGTAATGCACGCTATCATTCGGAACGTAAATCTGAAACAAAACTTTTTTAAAGTTTGTATTTTGCTGTTTGTTTGAACTGATAGTGTATCGTCAACTTAAAAAATCGTTATATACTACCGAAATTGTATACCAAGCTAAACATTTTGAAGAAGAAAATATCATTTTTCGTAAGAAATATAATTCCAGAAAATAGGCGCTGCGCTGCATGTAGGAGGGGGGGGGGTGTTCCACATCGGGTTAAAGAAAAAAGACAGCTGTGGGTGTTGGATGTCAAGAAACTGGTCGAAATTGAATCCATTTCCATTTTTGTTGCTTTGCAAGAAATACATGTATTAAATTGTGCACCTAATTTTTCCCATTTAAATTGTTGCTTAGACATAGAACTTAGAACGTATGCGTCTATGCTTTAATGGTACTGAAAATTCAATTTACGTTATATTAATGTAGAATGTACGTATATTGCTCTATAGAGCACATATAATATGCAACTGTAATTATTAACAAACCTTTTTAAGGGTGGTGGGGGTAACTTTTTTTTGTTTTTGAGATTTGACGATATAAAGTGTTCACAAGCAATTAAGCAGTGGAAATAATCAACAGATTAACTGGTGGAAGGGGGGGGGGTGGGTCATAAATTAAATGAATCCTCTATAGATAAGTCATAACTTGAATTTTCAATGCAACCCTTTGTCAAGAACACAGATTAGAAAATTCATAAAACTCAATAATTTGAAATAATATATTCATTTTTCCCCGAATATACTTTTATTTTTGTATGATATCTATGTGCGATATTTACGTGATATTTAACAAACACTTCGTAATCAGGTAATGGCGAAATATTTTACCTTCTGATTTTTTAAATAATGTGCGTTTCTCTGAATAGATTAATAAAGAATCAAATAATGAAGCATTTTAGGAAATATTGTCATTATTTAGCTTATCGTCAGAGTTGATAAAAACTTTTTAGAATAAAAAGAAAATAATTTCATTTAAATGAAAATTATGCCTGTTTTGTTTTTACTAATAATTGAATCAAAGATTTCACACCCTTTTACAAATGTGCTTAAACGGTTTCATACATGTTTATAGTTAACAAAATTTGATGTGTATTATCTTAATTTTGTATTTTTCAAAAAAATTCTTTCATTTCCACATATGGCTTTTCAACATCACGTAAATATCTTGGTGTAAAATTAGCCCTCAAACCGCATTCATTTCGAAGGAGGTCAACAAAACACAGCATGAAGTATGTAAATCAAATTGTGATTTTTAATAACTATACACCTTCATGTTTCAAATGACATATAAAAGTGTTAGTTTCAGTTCACAAAATTTTTTGACTTTTCCCAAAGTCGATTTGGTACTATAAATTGAGAATGCGTGATTCATGTTATTGATGACATGTGCTCTTTCTATGAGACTAGAAGTTATTCTAAAAAGTGAACTACTTCAAAGATATATACATTTATATTTTTTGCTATGCATATAAAAGAAATATTGAAGCTGGAACAGAACAGTTTAAACACCGTGAAAATGAAATGATCATGAGGTAACTGAGACAAACAACTTTGATTTTACGGTAAACTAAAGCCGTTGTAACTTACCGTACTCGGTTTTATACTGATCAACTTATACAAGGAACTCTGTACCCGTAATCTATGTTTACAATTAAATAATTGTACATCATGATTAACTAAAAATGCTTCAGCCAATGATTTTCATAAATGATAAAATAAATATTTATCTATGAATAAATTCTAGGTCATAATACAAGTTTCATTATATCGGTGTTTGATTTGTTAGTTTTATTTGCTTATGTGTTTTTAAACAAGATGATAAACGATAAACTATCATAGTTAACAGATGCTTTATTACGGGACAAGAGTGTTCAGAAGTGAAGGTTTCTTTAAGAAATTTAACTCCAAAAGGTTCAATATCTACATATCAATAGAATATGTTACTGAAAAATTGGTGATATTAAAATGAGATAAAACAAATAATCAAATAAATTATGAATGGACAGGAATAGTTTAAAGTGCACTACAGACATATTTTACAAGATGAAAAAGTTTTTTTTTTTCTTTCGAACGCTCTATTC